CCAGCATCTTGTCACTGCTGCTAGCCGTCGCAGCTGCTCCGCACTGCAGTTTACAGCCTTGTGGTTTAAAGTAAGCCAAAGTATTCAGGAATGTTTTATGCTACTAGACAAAATGTAAACTGTTCCATTCCAGCCGCTGTTTCACCGCTGGTGAAGTCATGCATGCGGTGAGCATGGACGTCCTTAGGAAGGTCACGGCAGAACCCACGCCAGTTATCCCATGGTGGGATATCTCCAGCTGTGAGTCAGAGCCCCTCACCCACAGGGAAAAGGCCTTGGGTGTAAACAAGACCAGAGCTTCTCTTCTATGGGAAAGGTGGTGCATCGCCTGTGCAGGCATCGTCTGCGCTCAGCAGTTGTGGACGCTTGAAGCTACACGCAGCGGTGTAGAGGAAGGAAGTCCAGAAGGCAGCAGGCATCGCAGTGTGGTCCGCTGCATGGAGCTGAGTGGTCCCGAGTCCCAGGTTTTGCTGTGAGGCTGTGGGAGCTTTGCATTCAAACTCGGTGCTGGAGGGAGTAACAGAAGTGAACAGACTCTGGTGAAAATTCCCCTTGTACACTATGCAGAGGTAGAAATCAGTGAGTTATACTGAGCAGTTCTGAGGCAGCACACAGGCAGGTTTTCCTGGGGCTTATCCAAGGCTCTGAATTTAACCACAGGCAACAAAACCGGCTTGGGTAACAGGAGCGAGGCGGGAAAGAAACCCACTGAATCCTCTTACTGGTAGAACATGAATCCGGCAAATTACTGCCAAGGTCTTGGTGGATCAAAGATATTTTACTAGCTACTTACATATCCTTGATTACCTGCTGATGGGTTAATGTTATGTTTTCTCTTTTGATATTTACTCCCTTTGTTTTATGCACTGACTCAGTGTTTTCAGAGGTGAAAGTTTGGCTTTTAGTAAGAACTCAGGAAAACCTTTTTTTTCTCCCAACTTCCTGGGGAAGGACAAGCCAGTCAAGCCTGGTTTAGATGGTAATTTTATGAAAACTGGAACACTACTGCTCATCATAACATCTGGCAGAAAGGTTACAGCTACACAGCTCTGAGTCATCTTAAGAAAAGGTTTGTCTTATGCAATTTGGGAAAAGTAGTATGTGGTCATGTAATTTAGGAATTCAAGAGAATATGTGTAACTGAGCAGAATTATATTGCATTGTCAAACTTAATGTTATCATTTATTATCCTTAATGGCATGTTTTTGCCTCTATTAAATTATTATTTGAATATAATTTCTGACATAGTTTCAGTGAATTGTAAAATATATTACCTAGCTGCTTCATCTTACAAATTGTAAAAACAATACAGATCTAGGCAAATGCAATAAAATGCTATGTGTGTATTTAATGGAAATATATACATAAATATCACTGGTCTTCTGCATAAATAGTTAGCATTATGCAGATATGTGCCCAGATAAAATGCAGCTAGCTTTTATTTAACTTCAGCAATCTTTTTCTTAATTAATAGGTATATGTCTTCTAAAGAATTATTAATATTCATACATATATTAATTTACCACTGCAACAGACAAGTTGAGTCAGGTTTATATGAAAATATACAATTCCCTTGCGATGAAAGGACATGCATAATATATCAGCTCACACTCATTTTACTTCTGCCATGTCCATTTTAAAATACGATCGTGACTTGAAGAGTCACTGGCAGGGTCTTTACTTTGCCCAGTTTGGAGGAGAAAACATCTCCCCATGATCTGTTGTGTATCTTTCATCACTGTTTTCCTGGTTCTCAACATTCCAGTTAGAAACATCAAGGTGTGCTCCCAAGAGACATCAGAAGTGAGATGACACACTGTTTTCTTTCTCTATCCATTCTCAGTTTGACAAAGAAAACAGACTAGGCATGTTCTTCAAGAAAAGCCTTTATCCTGACTACAATGAAGTCAGTTATGATTCATCCGTAGGTGTTTCTCTCCCCTGGCAATATAAAGGAGTTTTTCAGCTGGGCTTTGCTAACACACTTTGCCTTTGGCCTGTTGAAACTTGAATCATTGTTTTTTTTCCTGCCTAGAACATGCTCTGGAGTGTGCTGTGCTGATTGTAAAGGGTAAGAGGTTGTAATGGTGTTTTCCATTTTTATTAATAGGCTGGTCCCAGTGTAGCTGGTTTGTGAGGAGAAGGGGTATTCTGGAGTATCAGTGACAGGTCTTTTAGCTTGTATGGTTATATTTTGGTCTTGGCTTGTGGGAACTGGCTGGATTAAGAGTCCTGTCTGGCATAAGTCTTGAAACTCCTTTCCATAAGGATTTTAGATCTAACTTGCTCCAGGGCTAAGTATGATAAACAGTTGCTCTCACATGAAGTTCACTTGGTACATAAAGAGGTAATTATGAGTTCTTAGTCAAGTTCTTACTTACAGGAGTGTTCCCATAACAAACCCCAGCAAAACAATGCACCCTTACTCCTGCTGGTAGCCTCAGAGAGGCATAACATTGAATAGGCCACTGTCTTTTCCTTTTTTTTCCTCCTAAAAGAGGGTGTCTGAAGCATCAGATGAGGCGCAGTGGCAGTAGCCCAGTGGCCACTAGGTTGCAGTAACAGAGCGGACTCTGGCAAAGTGGTCTCTGGATGGGATGATCAAACAGATCATTTTTTTCCATGCAAAAACATTGGACCAGTTCTCATGTGGACTCTCCCTTTTCTACACCCTTTGGATTTTGTTCCTAGCTTTTAAAAGGCAGAGGGGCGGGGAAAGTGGAGGAGAGGGGAGGCAGCCGAAAACTCTACTCCCTTCCCTTTTCCCCAAAGTCATCTGATTTCCCGAAAACGCTTAATGTAGACCAGATCTGTGCGCCCCCCCGCGCAGCCCGAGCCAACGGGATTGTGCAATTTGTTCTGGCAATTCCCCTCCCTGCCCGAGAGCCGGCAAGCCGAGCATCTCACCCCAGCCGGGGGGCTGGGAAGCCGCATCCCACAGACAGAGGGTGCTGCGATACTGCGAATTAGAGGCTTCTTCCCCAGACCTCAGCCTTGGGTACATTTGGAGGAGGGTGTGCACAGGAAGAAAAAAGAAAAAGCGAAAGAGAGAAAAGAGAAGGGAAGAGAGAAGAAAGCCAGGCACGAACTAGGGAGAGAAGGTAAATATTGCAAGCATTGGACATGAGAAAGGAAAATATTCCTGAGCATCGCTGTCTAACTGCTAGAAGAGTCAGGACAAGCTGCTCCCCATCCCCAGGGCCTTAGCATAATTTTTGAGGTGGTGGGGAAAATGGATTGTGTACCCTGGGTGGGAGGTGCTTTCTGTATTAATTTACTGTGCGCCGGCATGGTGTTTGGAGACAGTGATGGTCATAAGGAGAGAATGCGAGTACCAGTGAGTACCAGGATAGGGATCATCTCTCCATTTTGCCAGTACAGAGCCTAGCATCCCTTCTTGATGGTTGGGGTTGCTGTATGCGGGAAGGAACAGAGATATAAACTTGCTTTTGAGGCAAAACATTGATGTATTCTCCACAAGCTGGGGTTTTAGGGTCTTTGACCTGCCTAGCAGGCACGCAGAAGCACAGACAACATTAATCAATAACACTGTTTTTTTTGTCCCAGACTGTGACTCCAAAGTCCAATTCCTGAAAGTTTTCAAAAAGGAAGATCAGCTTTTTCCAGATGTGGTGAGTTATTGAATCTCCAAGGGGAACTCAGGTTTATTAATAATTTCATTTTATAAATTAGGTGTTTTTCCTGTAGTACTGTACTGATTCTCAAATCTGAATGTATTTATAGCCCAATTAACCTCCAGAACAAGGCAGTGAAGTAGGGAATAGCACTTAAGACCCTTGTGTTCAACTCCTGCAGCATTACCAGCTCTTCTAGAGCTGAAGAGGAGCAGAGAGCACAACTGAGGCTGTGCTCCTTCTGTGTGAAAGGCTACAGGAGAAGGACAAGCCTCACACAGCCACAGCATTGGTCATTAAAACTCCAAAGCCAGGAGCTACGCTGCATGCTATGTACAGCCAAAGACTAGCTTTTTCACTAGGGACTCCGCGTGTATGAGGACAGAGAAGACTACTGCAACGTCATCTTCCCTCCTCTTTTCTCAGGTACCTTATCTTCTGTCTCCCTGTCTGGGCTGATGCAGCGTCCATGTATGGTGAGATCTTGTCACCCAATTATCCTCAGGTGTATCCCAATGATCTGCAGGAATCTTGGGAAATCCAGGTCCCTTCAGGATATGGCATTCACCTTTATTTCACACATATGGATCTTGAACCATCGCAGAACTGCGAATATGACTTTGTGAAGGTACTGTCCCTGTCCCCAAGTGAGAGAAAGACAAGAAGGCAGGTTAGAGCACAGAACAGCAAAACAGTGTACAAAGCCCAGGGCTGGAAGAAGAGATAGATACATCCTTCCTGTTCTGAGCTCCAAGAAGCCCAAATGACTGAGTGTATCTGCACTAGCAGTCACTAAATTGATTTGAGTTTGCCTCATAACCACATAAGCATTGTCTGCCAACTGAGTGTCCCATTTCTGCCCCCTTCCCCATGTTTCTCCTATATTCATAGGAAAAGCCTTCTTAGCCATCACTGACACCTCCCTATTGCAAGGCATATTCTTAGCCAGTGAACCGTAGGTATAAAAGGGCCATTTTCTTAGGGCATTTGCTTTTCTGTCCCTGAAATTATTCAGAATTAATCCATGAGTGGACATAGATGATCTAATGCAATCAAAAATTGATTGGAAATGATGAAGGTAAACCAATCAAGAGATCTGTGTATGGATAGCGGACACTCAGATAAAGTGCTGTGGTACATTGCACCACAGTTTTCTATGATCTATGCACCACAGATTTCTTAAAACAGAGACCCACTAGCTCTGCTCCATGTTGTCCCACAAGGCACAAAAGATCAAGCATTTCCACACAAATAGACAGAAACAAGACCATCCTATCCTGCAATAACTATGTGTGAAAAGGGGCAAGAAGATCAGGTGCAGCACTAGAAGGAGACCTTGGAGAAGGACCAAGGTGGGACAGTAGGATGGATGTGCTCTGCTTGGAGCTGTAATAACACCTGTCCTTTTGCAACAAACCAATGAACCTGTCAGACTGCTCTGCAGACCGTCAGTGATTGGTTTTGCCATTTTGACCCAAGGTGTTGATTTTGTGTGCAAGTGGGCCTGAGGAAAGGATGTTAACAGAGAACAGAGATCCATTTCTGGATTAATTTGTATCTGAGAAATTAAGACAGGCATTTCACAGCTTGGAAGTCAGTAGACTCGGGCATCTTACAAATGTCATGAAACTCGTTGTCTAGGGGCTCCATTCAGCTGTACCTTGGCTGGCTGTCTTCCACCCTTGGCCAGCTCGGTGGATGGCACAGCAGCCTCGGTCCCTCCTGCTAGCTATGTGACATAGCTGTGCCCTGAGAGATCTACCTGAATGCTGTGAGAAATGCATGCAATTTAGGAGGCTTTGGTTAGCCACCTATAAGCCAAAAGACTCAAATGTTGGCAATTGCACATACTCCAATAATGAGAGAAAACCTCTCTGCATTCTTCTGCAGATCCTGTCTGGTGGCCATGTTGAAGGTGTGCTTTGTGGGCGGAAGAAACCTCGTGCCCCTGGCTCCTCGATTGTGGAGGAATTTCACATCCCTTACAACACCCTCACTATGAGCTTCCGATCAGACTTTTCCAATGAGGAGCGTTTCACTGGTTTTGCAGCCTACTATGTTGCAGTGGGTAAGGCTAAAACAGCCTCCTCTGAATCTCTGTAGTGTCCAGGCTGGGGGACACACATGAAAACTGACAGAAGGGTTTTCCTTACAAGAATGCCTTATTTAAAGCAGACAGCACTGCTTTCCATTATGGCCAGTATAAATGCTGTCTTAGAGATACCTTTTCCTTGTTGTTCACCAGTGTTTGCTTCACTTTCTCACGTTCCTCTTGCCCTTAGGGCCCTCTCCTACTCTCAGCTGATTCATCTTTTCACACTTGCAGACTTGGATGAGTGCATGGATTTTGTGGAGCAACCTTGCAGTCATTACTGTAATAATTATATTGGAGGTTACTTCTGTACCTGTCCACCAGATTATTTCCTCTACGAGGATAAGAAAACATGTGGAGGTAAGAGAGCTATATTATCTGTGGTCAACAGCAAGAGTCAGTTTAGGCCAAGTGAGATATTGTACATGGAAGACCTCTATCAACCTTCTGAACCAGTTGTGACAGGTATATTTTGGCAAAAAAACCATCCCCATGCAAATCTGAACTGGCAGTAGACCGTGATTTGGGGAATTTCTATTAACATTCTTAACACTCTTCTTTTTTTGTGTCAAGAGAATTAAGAAACTACTAAATGACATTCTTTAAAGACTGTGATGGAGACCTTTCTTAGCGTACTGCTATCTGTGAATCTTTTAACCTCTGACAAAACAGGGCAGTTCAATAAAGACATAAAAATGGCCAAGGGACTGCTTGGCTTGAATTAAAAAATTACAAAGTCGCAAATGGTGTATGTTGAAAGGAGTATAATATGAGGACCTGAGCATGAGGGAAGAGGGCCTAAATTGCAGGTGGAAGGTAAAAAGAAAGGCCATTAGAAGTTAAAGTCCCTGGCTAATTGGATTGAGAGTGGCCCTGGCTTCAGTTTCCTGGAAAGATGCAGTGTTTGTGACGTGGTGATTGGGGAGACTGGAGATGTAGTGGAAAATGGAAGGCTTGTCAGCTTCATAGATGGGCCATCTCCTTTCTGAATCATACCTGTGTTCCTTCCCTAATCCTAGTGAACTGCAGTGGAAATGTCTACACTGAGCCATCAGGGGAGATTGTCAGCCCCAACTACCCCAACCAGTACCCAGAGAATTCGCGGTGTGAGTACCGAGTGGCTCTGAGGCCAGGCTACTTTGTGGCGTTGACCATACTCAGCGAGGACTTCGATGTGGAACCAGCTGACTCAAAAGGGACTTGTCACGACAGCTTAACAGTAGGTGTGGGGCTTAGGGAGGCAGTCAGGATGCTCTGGATCTCCCCTCAATTTCCTCATATTCAGAAGACCCTCTGACTTCCTAACTTTATTTTCAACTATGTTGCCTTTTGAAGTTCTTGGGAATACATTTGAATATGTATATATAGAATATATATTTGAATATCTCTCTGAATACATTTGGTATTTCTCATTTCTTCTTGTTTGTTATTTTCCTAGCTTGTCTCTGGAAAGCAGCATTTTGGTCCCTATTGTGGTAGCAAATTCCCAGATCCTCCTGAAATCAAAACTAGGAGCAACATTCTTGACATAATCTTCCAGACAGACCATGCAATACAGCACAAAGGCTGGAAAATACGCTACTATGGGAATCGTGAGTAAACATGTGGGAAAGTGTCCTCTCTGCTGCTGAGTTAGGGAGAGGGTTTGTCCCAGGTCAGATTCATGGTAGAACACCATGTTAACATGTTCACAGCTGCTGATATTGGGTAAACAGAAGATGCCTGTTTGGTAGGGAAAATAATCACTGGGGAGAAAGAAGTTGGGAGCTGGAAGGAGAGTAAATCTTGAAATAGTTAATCATTGATTTCCACCTATCTCTTCAAAGCTATAACCTGTCCCCTGAGTGTCATCCCCAACTCTGTTCTTGACCCAAAGAAGAACAAGTATATCATCAAGGACGTTGTGAAGGTGACCTGTGTGGAAGGCTATGAAATTGTGAGGGTAAGTTACAAAAAAAAGCATAAATCCTCTCTGTCCCTCTCAGCAGCTTCCTGATGCCATTTCTCATCAGGTGTCCTGAGCACCTTTGGGGACTCAAAGTTTTCACCACAGCTGTAGTAAGTGAAAACTTCTTCCAGCCACTGCAGCATTTTGAGGACCCTCCACTGGAGTGCCTGTGTGAGATATATCTCATGGCCAGTGACTTACATGGATCATGTGTTCTTTTCCCTAGCAACGGGACAGCATCATGACTTTTTACTCCAGCTGTCAGGACAATGGTGAATGGAGCAACTCCCATTTCAGATGTGTTCGTAAGTGACCCATCTCTGTATTGTGGGAAGCAGACTGGAATGGAGCCTTTAGGCTCTAGATCCACTATAGCTCCAGATTAGGAGAACCCTGAAGGACTGGGATGTGAGCATGCTAAAGGGTACAGAGGAAGGGAGTGCTGATGACTGTACAGGGACCAGAGGAGCTGAGTGGTTCCCCGATATACATAATAATCATATTGTTGGGTGAGGATGCCCCTTTGATGGTATTTGATCGATTTTGTTTCTTCTCTACAGCTGTGAACTGTGGTGATCCCGTTCCTATTGACAATGCCCAAGCCATATACGTCTCCGAGCTTCATGAGCCTCTGTACAAAGCTGCTTTCCGGTATCAATGTGATGCACCTTACTATACCCTAAAACCCGAGAAGGATGGTAAGCATTACCTCTGCCACACAAATGTATTTCTTTGATCAAAGTCCTAAGAAATGGTACTGGCATTGTCATGGGGCTGGGATTATATCCCATCAGGTCAAGACTGGGAAAAAGTTCTTACTGGTGTGGGGTTGCAGGCAGTTTTGTGTTGCTGTTGTGTTTAATACAGTCTAATAATGTCTGTACTTGGGCTGTTGACCTTACATGCATTAGCCAGTCCTGTCTCCATTTGCCTGGTGTGTGAACCACAGGGGTTTTTGTCACATCTAGCACACATTTCTGGTGGAGAAGTAAAGGACTCAAGAAATCAATTAGATGAGGTCCCTCCAAAATAGGGGCAGAAGCACCCTGGTGGGGTTGTGTACTTCTAGGGAGATCTCAGCAATATTTACCAAGCTGTGCTTGCCTTGAAAATGAGAAGGTTAATACATCATCTTATACAGTAATGCTACTTACCCTCTCTTCATCTTGATTGTATCCTTACGGCACTTTTCTTGTGTGTTCCAAGTGGTGTATCAGTGCTCAGCCAGTGGAGAATGGGTCAACGAAGAGATGGGAACAAAGCTACCAAAATGTGTCCCAGGTACTACCAAAAACTTTGTATATGTACAAACGGCATATGATGACCACTGCTTCTTTCATCGCTCTGTTTTTAAACTGCTAAGCCTGATAGTACAGTTGATCCTTTCTATGTTGTTTGAATCACGTTGGACAGGGCATTTCTGAAAGCTGTGGGCCCCAAAGAAAGGTCAGACAAGGCAGCAGAAGGAAACTGAAGACAAAAATGGGCAACATAATAAGACATCTGGTATAACGGGACCTCTTTGAGTATCAGTGTGTGTTTCTACACCAGTTTCCCCACCTTCATGTGTGCACATTTTCAAGTTGTTCAGTGCTTTAGATCTCTGTGTATATTGCAGGTAGCAAAAAGACTGACAGATCAAAAGAGACATCCAACAATGCTGGACCTTTCTGTCTTCGGTCCCTCTCAAACTACACTGAGAGCTGTAGCTTCTCTTCAAACCTCTCCTGGGGGTAGTGCCCAGCTGTCCACTACTGTGGACTGATGCAGCGCTATAGGGAAAGGTCTTTCACTACACTCACTGGAAGTCATAGCCTAAACCCTTAAGGTTTAACATGTCCTTCGGTATTCAGCTACACTTACTGTGACTGAAAGCTCAAGCAAGGTCCCTGTCAAGGACCAACTCATGGTCTCTTTGTGTACTTGGGAGACACTGAGGAGGCAAGTGCATGGGTACTACAGTTCCTGCCTGCTGGTAGTTATGGCTGGGTCTTAACTTCCAGCTGATAGAGAGAATTTTAAATCCTATGTATCCTGCACACTGTTCAGCTTACCCTCTTAGAGAAGCCGGTATGCCTAGGGCTAGTTGTACATGATACCTCTTCTCTACTCCAGACCCCCAAATCCTCATTGGCAAAGTACAAGATCCAGATGAATTTCCTGAATTTCTCTGTAAATAGTAGTTGCAAACTCTATGACATAGAATATAAACACCAGCTACTCAGAATCAAAAATGATTTAGAGGACACAGGAAGGAGGGGACTATGGGCTTTTTAGCAGTACCAAAGAACCCCCTATTTGTAACTGCAATTTCTCCCATCTGGTTCCTCTTTTTTTTCTTTTCTTTCCAGTCTGTGGAGTGCCTAGTAATCCCATTCGAGAGAAAGCAAAGATTTTTGGAGGCACCCTTGCAGAAAAGGGCAACTTTCCCTGGCAGGTGTATTTCGATTACCCAAGAGGAGGTGGCGTACTCATCTCTGAAAGATGGGTGATGACTGCAGCTCATGTACTGGAGGGATACGACAACCCCAACATGTATGCTGGGGTAATCAATGTTGGCAGAGAATCTCTGTACTTGGAGGCCAAGCAGTTGATCCCAGAGGCTTCATTCATCCATCCTGGTTGGAAGAAGCAGCCCATAGAAACCAGGACTGATTTTGATAATGATATTGCACTAGTGAAGCTGAGGGATCCTGTAAAGATGGGCCCAAACATCTCACCCCTCTGTCTTCCTGGTAAATCACCTGAGTATGAGCTGCAGGAAGGGACTCTGGGCTACATTGCTGGCTGGGGCCAGAGAGAGAGAGGAAGACTGCCTATTTATCTCTGGAAGGCCCAGATTCCCGTGGTGGACATGAATGAGTGCCGGTCTGTGAAACCGGAGGGCTCTGCTGATTCCAGTGCTTACCGATTCACTGACAATATGATCTGTGCTGGTGGTGGCAAGGACAGCTGTAAAGGCGATAGCGGTGGAGCCTATGCTATCCAAGATCCTCTTGATGAGAGACGGTACTATGTGGCCGGGCTGATCTCCTGGGGACCAAGATGTGGTACCTTTGGTCTTTACACCAAGGTAGTGCGTTATTTGGACTGGATTACAGAGACCATGAGCAAGCATGAAGATGAAGAAGCTTCGCAGTATTAACTCTTTCTCCTTTCAGCACAGTCACCCTTTCTAAATGTGATGGTTACATATTCAGGCTGGCTGTGGTCCTGTTCGCTCTGTGTATATAACGAGTCTACTCATTGTGTCTGTGCTGAGAGGAGAGTCAGGAATATGTATCTGTTTCTCCCACCGTCATTGAGTCTGGGAAGGGAAATTCTCTTTCTCCCACTCAGTAGCATAAGAGGAAGATGCTATTCTGGAGAAAGAGGCTCCTGCTGCTTCCTCTCATTTTTTTTCTATCCCATTTTTTCCCACTTCAAAAAGACCTAGCCATGCTCCACCTGACAGGGAGATTTCAGTGAAGACAATAGAAAATTGAACCCTGGTAGGTTCAGAGCCTGGTTTCTGATTTATCTGTTTCCTGTATTGTTCAGAATATCTAATAGCATTAAAGAATTTCCAAATTGCCTTGTGTGCAATGCGCTACTGTGTGTATATTGCCTTTCTTCTCAGTCTAGACCTAGTTCTCCTTGAAACTCCCTAAATCAAGTGTCTAGTCACATTTTGACCCACTACACTGCCAGCTTTTGTCAAGCTGTAACTTGTGCTACCTCACCTCTCTACCTGAGAGTCTTTATGTAGTTCTTCTGAGGTGGTTGCATCTCATTGACCAACCATTACCAGCAATGAGGACTTTAGACTTCTGAATCAAGCAAAGCAGAAGAGATAACTTCAAAATCCTTTCATTCACCTGTCCTCAGGGCTTTATTTTTCAAACTTTTTTGTGTTGGATAAGAAATAAAGCTTGCTTGATTTAGGGAAGGTAGTGTTGTGGGAGAAGATTACCTGACGTGCGTTAGGGGTGTCTTCTGCTCCAGAAAGTCCCATATCACTCACACGTATCCTTCCACTAAGATGGTCAGGGAACTGGTGCAGCTGGCATATGATGAAATACGGAGGAAGCTGGATTTGTTCACCTTGAAAAGGAGGAAGCTAAGAGGAGGATCTAACTGCTGTATTCAGGTACCTAAAGGAGGGCTAGAGAATACATGGAACAAGACTCTTCTGGAAGGTAAACAGTGACAGGACAAGAGACAATAGACATGAATTGCAATAAGAGAATTTCCAGTTGGGCCTTTTCCCAGGGTGTGGGTCAGCACTGGAACAAGTGCCATAAAAGACCGGGGAATCTGTGTCCCTGGACATCTTCATAACTTGCCCAGGCAAGGCCCTTGAAGCTCTGAAATTAGTCCTGCTGTCAGCAGTAGATTGGATTAGAGACCTCCTCTTCCAGCCTGTTTTTCTGAGAGTTTAGGAAATGGTGAGGAGGACGTGTGGAGTTCTTGGGAGATTTCATATAGATTCCTGCACTCGGCTCAAGCACCTTCAATTTTGTGTAACAAGCAAAAGGTTATTTTGTTGTTGGGCTAGTAAGCAAGGATCTTACACTGCATTCCTGAGGAACTGTGACCCACAGGATGTTGAATGCTTTTTACTGTATGTGCCAACTTTAATCTAGTATGAAGATTTATAGTAATTCCTTCTTGTGGCTAACTGGTGGACTCATCTCAGCTTTCATCTTTTGGAGTGCAAAAGGGAATGTCCATCCCTGGTAAATAGTCCAGGCTGCAATCTTAGCCCATGTTCCTCTTGTGCAAAGAGGTGACTATAGACTGGCAAAGAAACAATAATGATGCAGTGCTGCTGTTGTAACAATATTTTTTTACTTCACAGTATGTATTAGAATTTCATAAATCACACAAACATGCCCAAACATCTGAGGTAATCACGAGCAAAAGCCACTGGAAATCTTACAGACTGCTATGTCTGGCTATTAGGAAGCTTCTGTTTTGGTATGTGATGGATACTTCAGCAGTAGAAATAGCTCAACAAAGTACAATTTGGGGAAAATTAATCCATTTTAAGTTCTGAAAAAGTGACCTTCAAAGTAAGGTAAGATATTTCCTTAGCTTCTGTGACCACAAAGCCACTCAGGCAAGCAGCGTCACATGATTACTCACTAGCTCACTGATTAACTCCAATCTTTCTGGAAAAGGACAGGAAGACAAACTGCTGAAATCAATTCAGGACAGCAGAGAAGAAAAACAGAAATGTGGCTGAACGGTCCAGGAGTAGGAGACAGGAAAGATACTTTTTTAGCTCAGATTGCTATTCCTGGGAGGGTCACAGATTCCTACAGGCATTTGGGACAAATCATCTATTCTCCATGCCTCAGCTTCCCAAAGTTTCCTAGTCTCCTGCAAAGCAGGAGATTCTTTAAGATGGCTTCTCAGTCATTTTTCCTAATTTTTACAAGGACTGAAGAGTTGAGTGTTTTATTGTTCTTGTTACCTGTACTCACCAAGCATCCCAGAAATTCCCTGTTCTTCACCTGGAATACCCCCCCCATTGCATGTCTCATTCTCCCTTCTCTCCCCTGGACCAGGGTTTATCCATTGCTCCAGTACAATTGGACACCTTGTTTTTCCATGCTCTTGTTGCCTCTCATGCTCCCCTCTTGCCCATACAAATGGGAAAAATCAACAGGATTCTGACCCCTGGAGATCACAGATGAACTTATATCAGATGTGCAATTTCACTGATCACTCCCCCAGGGTACATTATCTCAAAAGCAAATGAGAAATACTGACACCTGAGATCTGGAGCTGGATCTCACAGAAAACAGTTTGAGAAGGCAACTATGACCTTACTCCCAGAGTTCCCATCAGGCTCTTGCACTTCAGTTCTCTCAGTGATTCACAAGAAAAAGGTAGGTTGTTCTGCAGGAGCAAAACTAGTCAAGAGACAACTCCAGAGAATGCCCACAACACGAGGGGTCACCTTCTCTCTGATGCAGCTGTCCTGCATTTTAGAGATGCTGTCCTGCAGTCTGAGCTTTATTTCATATAGTATAAAAAAATCCATCCTCAAATTCTGATCCGTAAAGAAAGGTTCCTGGCCTCTTTTCTCCATGAGATTGGTTGTTGTCTCCCCCGTCTTTTGAATGTGGCATCACACAGACACCTTACTTTTGCCTCCTTTGAAGCAACCTGGAGTTTCAGACTGGGTAATCTAATGGCAGTTTTGTGACAGGTGGGCAACTGCCATGCGCTGTTGCAGAGCTGGAAACACTTTAGTGGTGGGTAATGCAATCCCTGTATGAAGTCTGTAAGTTGCTTTCAGTGATGGGGAATATTTATAGTTGTTAAAAACAAAGACAGAAAAACATAACACACCTGGTTTCTCCAGCAATGATTTTAATATTCATAGAATCTCACTGATGCCAATGGGTATATGCACACTGTACTCAGCACAAAGTACCACATCCTTCAAGAAAGTCTGCTGCCCTGCTACTTTCCCACAGAATAGGGTACAAAAGTAGACTGCAGTAGTCTTATGATATATCATCAGCACTTCAAAAAATAACATGCTTACTGTCATAAGATTTCCTGATACTATTAAGGCTTCATCCAGTAATAAGATTGGAAGAACTAGAACATCCGCAAAGGCGTCCCACAAGCTGCCAATGGTACAGCAGCTTTGGTAAGTTTTCATGGTACCACCAAGAATTGATCAAACAGTATGGTGGCTTTCAGAAATGCTCATGATGAAGGTTATATGGTCTGTGTGTTTGAAAAGCCTTTGGGACATCATCAAGAGCTTTAGATACGATTTGCTGTGTCTGGAAATTTATATGCTATCAGTGATTCTTCAGCTAGTAGGACAGCAACACTTAGAGCCTATCCTCCCCTACTATCCCTTTGATCCAGTCCAAATAGTTGATGATCTTGGTGTAGAAGCCATAACCCTCGGCACAGCCGATACCCCAAGAAACAATACCGGTAGCCACCCAGCGACCACTTCCTGTGTCTAACACCGTGAAGACGCTCCCACTATCGCCCTGGCAGGTATCCTGTTTGACTGTGAGGAAGCCAGCACAGAACATGTTCTCAGAGAAAACCATAGGTATGTCTCTCTTCTTACTGTCCAGCCAACTCTGACACTTCTCTCGAGCAACTGCTGGCAGGCTCACGTACTTCAAATTGTTTGAAATAAAGTTTTTTTCCACACCAAAGCCACTCACATAGCCCATGCGCCCATCCATGTAGAACGTGGTGTTGGTAGTATCTGGGAGACAGATGGGCAGTACTGTAGGTCCCAGGGTTACTGGGTGTTTCAGCTCCAGCAGGGCTATGTCCCCATTGAAGTTGTGCTCATCTTTAGGGTTGTAATCTGGGTGGATAAAGATCCTACGTACAGGGTGGTTACCCAACTTGTGGAGCTCTTCTACCTTGTTGTGGCCGAGGAAAATGTCAGCCTCCTCTGCTATCTGGTCCAGGCTTGCATTGCTCCCTCCCGCCCCTTTGGGGAAGATGGTGTGGGCAGCAGTCAGGATCCAGCGATCACCCAGGAGTGCACCACCTCCTCGCCCGTGGATGCCAGTCAGAGCCTGCCAAGGGAAATTGCCTCTCCTTGCTGATCTGCCGCCCAAGATCCGCTGGACTTCAGTAACGGGATTGAACGGCTTCCCGCACACTGTGGAAAAATGCGAGGAGATCATGACACCCTCTGTTGCCCTGGCTCATCTCTCTCTTTCCTACACCATCACTGTTTGATTTCACATTATTTTTGCCTTCCTGGATAGATTTCCCTGTCCTCCCTCACTGATACCATTATCCTTACTCCTCTCCCCACATGTTGTCCCGGCTTTGTACTGACCGTAAGCATGAATTGGTAAACACCAGACAAAGTCAGAGTTTTTCACTGACCTGGCAAACAGGCAGGAATCCTCGTCTGACCATCTCGATCCACCCAGGTTCCCTCAGGAGAGCAGGTGAATCTGTCTGTAGGATGAGAGGAAACTGAATGACACCCAGGTCTGCAGGCATGGGGTGGGAAGAAAGAATAGGATAGGATAGGATAGGATAGGAATAGAATAGAATAGAATAGAATAGAATAGAATAGAATAGAATAGGTAAGAATAGATAAGAATAGATAAGAATAGATAAAAATACAATAGAAATTTTCATGGCATTCCTCTCTCCAAGGTGTCCCACATGCTGCACTCAGCCCTTCCAGCCCAAAGGCACCCTTTCCCAGGAAAAGCCGCCTGTGGTATAGTCTGGAATGTCTCCATCTGGGAGAGCACGTACATCTCGAACCACCTCAGTTCCAGGGACCAGTAAAGCGCAGGCACTGCTTCCGTAGAAGAAAAGCCTGAAGAGCCATCTGAGTGAAGTCCTAACTTCAGTCAGTCCACATGCTTACAGAGCACTATTTGACCTTATTTAGGCCAAAGAAGGGAGAAAAGAAGTAAAGACATGGATTTTAGATTCAAGTTTCTGATCTCTGTAGTTTGCAAAGAGTAGGACAAGGTGGTTTGATCCAGAAACAGGAAAGAGATGAGTCAGTTACTGCACATGCTCAGTATCTATTTCTGAGGCTATATGGTAGGTCAGCTAACTTGCATGTCCCCTCTCAACACAAACTCCAGTACCTCCAACACTCTTGCTTTTCTTAGAAAGTTTGTGCTGGTGACTAAAAATAATTTATATACAATTTATCTTACACTGTAGTAAATGCTTCCAAGAAAGTGCTTGCTGTTCTCTTTCAAATCATGATCAGAATTTGGCTGGTGCTGATATTTACTTGCTCCTGATTTTTTTTTCTGATGCGATTGAGCTCTGACTCTTTATGAAGGAGATAAACTCAGATGCAAGAATAATCAAATTCAGCATTAGTACCAACTTAAAGAACGCCTTAGCTGCTTGCACCCAGCCCCAGCACTAGTGTGTCACCTCTCTCAGGCATGCTGCACAATGTGTGTCCTTGCTGGAAACCGTATCCAGGAACTGAGTCAACTTTAAAAATCTTCATTTTTTTTACAGAGGTCAAATGAGCAGCCATGGCATGGAAATCATGAACTCCTTATACTGTTGTTGTAACCAAAGCTCATATGTCATCAAATCATGTCTCAGGTGCAAAAAGAAGGCACATGAATGGTTTTGAACACTGCCTTAATTTTTCTGATCTGCTGCATAAAAATAGATTTCTCTGTATGTATGTTATTTAGCCCTCAGATGTCTCTGCTGCTGAACAATATCCCAAAGAGGTAAACAGTATTACAGTGGAGTAGAGTTTGAGTTTATTTATTTGCATCTGTAGCAACTTGGACTGGTGTGGTGAGGTTTCATAATTTTGGTGCTTCCCAGACAGCATGCCTCTAATTTCCGTGAAAGAATGAAACCCACTAGAGAAGAATAAACCTTGACTACAGATGAGAGAGTAAGACCTTCTGCAAAAGTTAAGGAGAGTGTGGAGGAGGGATGTGATGGACTCTGGGAATGAAGCAGGGTGGGAGAGGTTGAGAGAAGAGGCCTCAGGAGCTATGCTGCAGAGCCAAGGAAAGATTGGAGAGCCTTCACAGGAGGAAAGCATAAGCCCTAAGCCTGGGGAGCAGAGATAATTCTAACTGGAAACCTGAGAGGGCTTTTCACACACAGATTTCAATGTCTGTGTGGGATTAGGACTCACCACCGCCTGCTCCGGTGACAATGTGATAATACGGCTCATTGCATTGGTATGTGATCACTGACTGGTAGTTGTTGTTTGCAGGTTTGTTAACATAGACGTATGCCCCATTGGCCAGGTCTGTAGGGTTGCCACAGTTCACAACTACAGAAAAGGGAAAAAAAAAAAAAAAAAAAAAGAGAGAGATGAATCAAAGACAGCTTTACTGCCTGCAGGTTTAGGCTTGACTTGGATTGTGGCCATGATGTGAAGGACCAGTTAGTACAGCGGGCAGAGAGGGGTTGTTCCAAAATGGATCCCAGACTGGGATCTTTTGCTTTTAGATGTTACAACATTATAGCAAAATTTTAGTGATATTGTATGCGTTTTTGTGAGGGAGGAAAAACATTTAAGTTTTTGCAAGTGGAAAAATGTAATGAAAGTCAACAGTGGTCCTCCACAGGTCCTTCCAACCAGCATATCCATGAGTCTGCGGTCACAGACTTGAGTCACGGAGGCTGAACTCCCCATGTTCTTGGAGAGGGAAAGCCACGGCAGCAGGCATAATTCCTGTTCTCAGATCACTCACTTTCACAGCGGGGCATAGATTGATGCCATGTCCCATCAGCTTGGCAGACAGCCGTGAAGGACAGTAGCTTTCGATTGCCCTGCACGGGAGAGAAAAACATCTCTGTTGGTTGTACAGAGCCTTACATCCCGTTCCCCACAATAAAATAATATTCTACGTGCCCATCTTTTCACTGCTGTCCAATAGCTCCCCCTCTGCAGTCTGTTCCAGTTGCTGTCCTCTCCCTTTGCTGCTTTCCCTCTACCCTGTGTTTGCCACAGGCTACAAATTCTTCATAGCAGGCCAAGATATCAGCAGCCAGCAACCATAAAACTATGACAAGCCTGGGGTGCTACCCAGTCCTGGCAAGTGGATGGCAAGGGAGGCAGGTAACATCTTCTGCTTCAAGTCTGATTTTATATCCTTCCAAAGAGATATTCTTGTTTACCAGTGTTTCCTGGGATCTTTGTCTTTCATCTTCTACCAGGGCTTCATGGAACAGTAACTGCATAAGAAAGGGAGCTAGAAAAGGAGAAACCACTGGAAGAAAGCTGATAGAAGCAAGGAAGAAAAAGAAATTGCAAGAGGTTGCCATGAGTTAAATCTCCAAAGAAAGTTTTACTGAAAGGTGAAAGACTTACACAAACTGAAGAGAAGCCAGAATATGGCTGAAGGGAGTGGAGAAGGGATCTCACCTCGATCAGGTTATACCCAGTTTTGCAGCTGACAACAAAATAGTCCTGAAATTGATACACAGGCTGCAGGTCTCTGATGATGGTAAACTGATCCCGTGGGACAGGCTGTGGGCACCGTATTTCTGTTAGAGAATGGGACAAAGTAAGATGGTATTAACAAATGGTGTAGATGATAGGCTGTAGTAGCCTCTGGGGAAGAAATGTCTTACTCTCCGAGGTGTAGTGGATCTTCCAGCCACGGCTGAACCCTGACTCATCGGTGAGGAAGAGTATGTCCACCTCATTACTATTGGTTTCAATGCTGCCAGGTGACTCCTTGCCGCAGAATTCACCAATCTCTCTCCCTCGTGCTTGGATCTGATGAGGAAAACATGTATCACAGAGACAGAAACACACATGCCTCTCTGCCCCAGTATCCCTATTTCAATCCAGACCAAGTTTGCCATGGTGCCTATGATGGTGAACAGGGCTGGTTGTCCGACCTGTCTTTGCTGATGTCTGCACTGAGAGATCAGAACAAAGGGCTGACCTACCGCAAGCTCTGCTTCTCCATTATCATTGGAATCAGAGCTGTCAACCCCTTCAAATCTTGAGATTAAGTCAAAGGGAGATAAAACTGGAAGAAGGACGATTTTTTTTTGGCTTCACTCACAGGGGCCTGTGACTGAGAGCTTCTGACCTCAGGACAATGGTAATTAAGTGCACCGAGGCCAGGACAAGGGAAGAGCTCAGTCCTTCATGCTGGGGCATTCTCCTTGTACTGATCACATATTTCCCATCTGAATGGTGGTGTCCCCACAATTCTGGTCCAGGTCTGGCAGCAGGGTTGGAAGTAGAGCTTGCTGATCTCCAGTACCTTGAGCTGGTCATAAGGACAGTGGACCTGCTGGTGTTCATCAATCTCAAAGGGTTCCAAGAACTTGAGGATGACAGACAGGCCCTTTTGCAGACGGATGCTGTAGTTACACCGGAGGTCTTCAGGATAGGGCTGGGGGTATTCAGGGCTGCTCAGGTACCCAGATGCTTCTGTGAACAACTCACTGCTGCATTCCACTGGTATAGGGGAAGAAAGTAGAGGTCACATTATGGAGCTGTGTCATCTGCAGCCCTGTCAACTGCTCCCTAAACCACTTCTCCCACCCTTCCCAGCTGAAGGGCTCCTTCCCTGGAACCTTCTGATCTTTCAAAATTTCAGTTTACCTTTGCAGGAGTGGTGGTCACTCTGAAGCTGATAGCCAGTCCGGCAAGAACAGAAATAGCCACCCACATAGTTGTGGCAGAAGTGCTGGCACGGAGTCCTTTCATCTTTCTCAATAGCATTGTTAGGGTCACATTCATCAAGATCTGAAGACGCAGGAGATGCAGAGACAAGAGGAGGAAAGTGTTAAACCTCTCTGCTGTACACTGAAAGTACATAGAGATCCATATCCTTGCTTACAGCTTCTCTTTATTTGCATGACAAGGAGGAAAAATGGTTGCAGCCACACAGGCTTCTTTCTGCATGCTGAGGGTATTGTCTACTCACCCACAGCTTGGTAATGGGCCAGGAAGCCCCTGTAGGGAATCACTGTACCATTGTCGTCATTGGAGAAGTCAGAATGAAATGCAAGATGCATCCTGTTCCCCTTAGATACAAACTCCTTTCTTCCTGGGTGATTGCCTGTGGTTGACCCAAGTTGGCCACAGTATCGGCCCAAGTTCTTCTTGTCTGCTTTGATCTGTCAAAGTTAAGGGGAAATCACTGTAGCCTCATAAGATTCAGTCTACTCCAAGCATCACTATCACCCAGCCATGAGTTGCTAGTACCTGCTCCACCCATTTCTATCTTTAACTCCTTCCCTTCCCTTTGTGGGAAGTATGAGATGAGCCATGGTGAACGAAGAGCCATTGCATGCGGTGGCCACTAGATTCCCATCTCCAGCCACCCCCTGGCCCAGGTATCTATGCACGTACCTTAACATAGTCATAGAAGCAGGACTCAGATGGCTCCAGGTCAAAATATCTGAAGGTCAGCTTCACCACATAGCCTTTTGGGACATGGATATCCCAAATGCTGATGTTATTGTTGGGATATGGCTTGGGATAACCAGGGGATCTGATCTCCCCAAAAAGCTTTGTTGAGACTGGACTAGAACTGATTACTCCAAAGAAGAGGAACACCCACAGCAGAAAAGGAACGTGCCTGTGAACATGGCAAGTAAACTATGACATTGCACAAAATTAGCTCATCCAAAATCAGGGGAGACTTCAAAAGTGACTTGCGCACTGTCTAATGGAATCCAAACACAGGAGGCCTAGTTGCAGGTCAAGCTTCTGGCTTGGATTACTTGGGAACAAGGAGGACAGCTGAAATGAAGACACCAGCACTACCCAGGTTCTAGCAAGGCATTGTGACCCAGCCATAGTGATTCATCAACCCAGGAATCAGTCTGAAGGAACATGGGTGAATTCCCTGAGCAACATCAGCTTGTTCCCAGCAATCATGGGGCTAGGTCCCTTAGATCCAGGGGAAGTTTGCTTCCCGTTGGCTCTGGGCCAGTGGGTCACTTTTGTTTATTGCTAGTTTAGGACCTCTGCCCAGTTCCTTTGGTGAGGGTCTGAAGATCTCAAGCTCAGTTTGCTGAAGAGCAATCCTGCAGTGCCTTCAGGGCAGCCCTCTACCCAGTCATGCCTCAGTCCCTCCCCTCCAAAATGTTGCCCTCTTTTTTTTTTTTTTTTTTTTTTTCCCCCTCATCCTGCAGATGTCCCCTCTTCCGCTCTGGGGAACGGGACTATCAGTGTTCCTCCAAAACAAGCTCACTGCCCAGATCTCATGAGAACATCTGCCAGGACGATCCTTCTTCCTCAACCCTTCGTGTCTAGCAAAGCTTTAATGGAGGGACGGCTAGCATGAGCTTAGCCCCTTTGCCCTATTCTCCTTCCTGGAAGGGTCTAACCTCCCGTTCCCTCCCCGCGAAGATGTGGCTGGGCGCCCCCCCTCCCCAGACGCCCCCGCTCACATGTCCATGCGTTCCCGCGCCGCGCACGCAGCCCTGCCCGTCCTGCCCGCTGCCCCGGCCGGAGCTCCGG